CTAATTGAGAAGACAACGATAAAGAACTTAGGGATAACAAATTATACAAATGTATTGTATCTAAAATATAACAAAATAATAAAGAACATAGAATATAATTGAAGATAAGATTCATTTATATATAAATTTTAAATATAATATTTATAAAATTTTAATAATTTATTTTTTATTTTTAATGGTAAAATTTATTTTTTTATTATTTTTATTAAAAATAATTATTTTTATTTAAAAAATTATAATAAATCACAATTATTAAAAATAAAATATAAATAATCAAAATTTCATAGAAATATAATATAAAAAATTTATATCTAAATAAATTTTTACTTATATAATTATTAGATAATTTCATTTTCACGCCCCGGATCAAGCGAATTTGTCACTTGATTTAGTGGAAATCATCCTCTGGTGAGGTTGAGAGTACGAGTCCCAAGGCTGTTAGTTTTCCCTTCCCCAGAACAAATACTAAAATACAATGTATTAATTACCACTTAAAATATATATATATATATATATATATATATTATATAATCCATAAAGGCATCTATATGGATATTATGGACAACTAATTAAGAACACAACCTAAAAAAATTTATTTTTTGTTATATTGCACTTTTTTGATTTGCAAATATGATGTCATGAACGACCAATAAACATTATATGTCACCCAAATCAATTAGTTGTTGCAAAGCTTTCATCAAAAACTAAAGAGGACGAAGAGACCCTTATTCAAAATTCAAAAGGGATAAGAAATTAAAATGATACAATTATCACATAAACTTCTAGTGCGACAAAGCATACTTAGAAAAACCCTAAAAGCACGCTGATAAAGGAGAAAATTGGCTAGAGTTCTTTTTGTTTGAGAGTCAATTGGGCTGACTAGGAGTGCACATATAAAATAACACAAAATATATCATATTAAATTTAAAAAACACATCTATTAAGTTTATATTCTAATACTTTATTTTTCTTTGACATGGGATATTGTGTACATCTCTCAACTTCATTCATACGTGAACTTTATACTCCAATATTCTCTCCCATGAATATATGAGTCTCCTTCTCATGATTGCAACTATTTTGGACCTCACCCATCCACGATACCTTCCTATAAAAAAGAAACAAGATGTTAGACTATAATATATATATATATATATATATATATGTAAAAGCTCATGAATCTAATAACCATGTCTTTTAAATTTAATATGAAATTTTCTCATATGTATTCATATACTATCTTGTGCATGCGCTTTCTACCCGACCCGCTTGATTCCTGACACTTTTAGATAACCAAGCAAAACTTTTTGTATAATCAAATTGTGCATTTTTTTTTTAAAGTCTAATAAGGGCTATGAAATTATATAAGGATTGTATCTTTAAGAAATTTTTTTGTATTAATTTATTAATGATATTTTGTTAATTTTATTACGAAAGGTTTAATTTAGTTTGTTTCCCTTATAAATAGATATGGTCTAAATCAGTTATTTTACATTCTATTTTAAAAAGACATTGTATATTAGAATTTCAATTTTACTCTTATTTAAGAAAAAATAAAAATACGTAAAAGTTTTTTTTTTTGTTTAATTATGAGTAAGAATGAAAATGAACAAATAAGTTAAAATTATTTTATTAAATATATTTCTTAATAATCATAAATAGATAAAAAAAAAAACTAAATCTCAAAGAAATCTTTTATTTCATGTTTACTCCTTGGCTGAGGTGCCCTTTTATACTTGGTTAAATTCTCCACTTAATCCCTTAATTATTGTATAGACTCCTAATTTAGTTCCTAAATTTAAAAAAATTCATGATTTAATCCCATAAACCTGGTTTTTGACACCCAAATCTAAAAAAAGATGAGAAAGAGGGGGGAGAGACTAGTAGCGATGCTGCATAGAGAGCGAGATGAGGATAGAAAGAAGTAGATCGACTCTATTGAGCAAGTTGAAATCAATTGGGTTCAACTTTAGGGATGTTGACGCCGCCAACAAGATCCCGCTAGTATGGAGGTTGAAGGAGAACGAAGAGATAAATAGGAGGAGGAGACAGAATGTGGGAAGAAGTTGTCTGAACTCTGAAGAAGAAGAAGATATCAGGGTCATTTTTTAATTTTAACACTTTCGCTGTTTTAATTTATAAGAAAATAGTTTTAATAGCGGTCTAATTATTATGTTTCACTTATATTTTATTCTTTTTGTTTATCTTTAATATATTTAATTTAATTTTTTAATCTTTTTAAATATAAA